TCTGTGTCTGCATCTTCCTCCTGCCGTGGGGCTGCTCCACAGCGAGGGAGCCTGCCAGGGGAGAGGATGGGGACGATGCTGTCCCTAATCCCAACCCCATCTCTGAAGGGTGGGAGGAAACCGTGTTACAACCCCGATTCCTCCTGGGAGCCGCACTGGGCTTTGCCTGATGCCGTTTGCTCTGATGGAAGCGCGGCTCCTCCTGCCAACCCTTCCCTGTTTCCCTTCCCTCCCTTCCCTCCCTTCCCTCCCTGCTCACCGGCGGCGTGGGAGCTGCTGCTCGGCACCACGGCAGGAGCTCAGCACAGCCAAGATGGAGACTGGACAGATCAAAATGGATGGAGCATCCCTGTCCTTCCCCTCCACCTTCCCTAGGCCAGAGGCACAGCCTGAGCCTGTCCCCTTCCTCCCACCGGGCTCAGGGACAGGATCCTCCTGGTCCTGATCCTCCAAATCCAGCCCTTCCACCCCCTCTTCCTGGCGGAGCTCATCTGACGCCTCCATCTCCTGGCCACAGGCGCATCCAAGGCAGGATTCATTAAGAAAACCACAGCAAAGAACTGACACTCTCCTGGGTTTCCTGCTCCTCCTCATCCTCCCAGGTCTCCAGCAGCCACAGCGTGACCCACGGGTTTCACTTCCCGAAGGAGCAGGCAGAGCTACAGGAGGGCAAATCCCTGGGAACCCATTCCCAGCTGGCTGCTCGTGGGATGGGAAACCAGGAGCTTGTTTTGGGGTCTCCAATCCTGGAGCGGGAACGCTCGGAGGAGTCAGCACCGGCATCTCCAGCACCGGAGCACATGGGATTCCTTCCAGCATCAACACACGCTGTCCTTCCAGACAGACGGAAGGATGATCCCAGAGAGCTCCTTGGACACCCAAACCCATCCCCTCCACCATTCCCAGCCACGGGAAGAGCCGGAGGCACCGCGGCCACCAGGGCTCAGGGCAGGGAGAGGATGGAAGGCCCTGAGCTCCTCGGCAACCCCACGCGTTCCCCGTCCTCGCACAGCGTGTTCCCGGCGGGTTCAATGCCCTCCTCTGCCCGCCTCGGTGCCAGGTGGACAATTAGAGAAGGTGTCTCTGTTCATGCATCCCTCGCACGGAGCCAAATTCCCTTCCCGAGCCGGGCGCTCGCCCCAGCGGCGGCGATGGCAGCGGAGCTCCGGCTCCGGGATCGGGAATAAAGGCGCCTTCATCGGCGCACAATGGGCGGCTCAGAGCGCGGCCGGGGCAGCTGCAGGGACACATCCCTGCCTTGGCAGCCAGAGGAGAGACCCCGGCTCAAAAAAGGGACTCAAAGGGGATAAAACTGCGCTAAAAACACGGCTGAAGTTTGTCAAAATAACCGAAAGATTGGGGGAATGGTGGGGAAAAAATATCCACCCAAAGGAGGGTTGAAAACGATCAAAAAATGGTTGGAAAAAAAGGCACCAAAATGTGGCAAAAATAAAATAAAATTTTAAAAAAGGGATCTGGAAAGTGGCGAAATAACAGGGCCTCAAAAAAGGCACATAGGAAAAGGGGCCCTGAAAAGGCACAAAAATAAAGAGGTCACCAAAAAAAGGCCCTACCCCAAAAAAAGGGCCTTTCAAAAATGGGATAAAAAAAGGCCAAAAAAAAGACCCTCAAAAAAAGGGCCCCCAGAAGGCCAGAAAAACAAAAAGACCCGAAAAACAAAAAGGTCCAAAACCAAAGTGGTCCAAATAAAAGGTCCAAAACCAAAGTGGTCCAAATAAAAGGTCCAAAAAAAGCCAATTTGGGTGCAAGAAAAGGGATTGCTTTCCAGGACAGGGTGAGAACAGACGTCTCCCAGGTGGGAAAGGGACCAAAACCATGATAACAGAGTTCCACGGACACCCAGAGGTTTTGTGTTGGAGCGTGGTGTGTTGGGAAAGGGGTTGGCAAACACAAACACCAAATAATATCTGATTTTTTGCCTCAAATAAGAAATGGACACCAAAACGGGCTGGTGGAGAGGTGGAGAAGCAGATCCTGGAGCAAAGGCCACGTGACCTTCAGTGCACGACATAAAAACCTGGACAGACTGGGAGCAAAGCACAAAAATGTGAACTCCTGTCCTCCTTCCTCCTCAGCCCAGCTCCTCCTCCTCTCCTCGGGAGGAGGCGTCCGGCCAGGAAACGGCGCTGGCCATAAATACGGGCTGGGACGGGCGCGATTCGCAAACCAGATGTTCTGGGGGAGAAGGGAGCACAAAAGGGAGGGAATAAACCCACTCCAGAGGGAAATATTCCCACTCTGTGCTCCTCCAGGTCGCCATCCCCAGCTGAGTTGGCTGCAGCACCCCCAGAACAGGGTGGGTTGTTTGTGTTTGGGGCAATTTCGGCCTTTCCTTGGCAGAAGCTGTTCCATCAGCCAGATGAACATCACATCTTCAATCCAATGTTCCTCCTCTTCCTCCTTCCCTGTGGATTGAGGCTGAAATTCATGGCCACTTTCCCCATTTGGAGCTGAGACCCCATGGGACCCCCCCAGTGCCAGCCTGGAATCTGACACGGAGCCTTCGAGGCACAAACCCAACCACATTCAGCACACAAAATCCACCAAAACCACACCAGCCACCTGAGGCTTCGCTTCTCTCCCCCACATCGCCTGCCCTTTGTGCCCAAACTACAGAAAAAAAACAGGATTTGTTCCTTTTCTGTGTTTTCAGAACTTGCAGTGGCCTGGAGTTTCTCTGCAGCCTCTGGACAGGCGCTGGGAAAGCCAAAGCCTGGAGCTCATCCTGCTCCCTCCTCCCTGGGCTGGAGCTCCAGGCTGATCCTCAAACCCCAAATCCAGTAAATTTTCCGGCTCCCAAAAGCTGAACCGGTTAATAGAGACATTTAAAATACCAACCCCTCAGGTTTGAGGCACATTTTTCCGGGGGGGGGGGGGAAAGGGAAAAGGAAAGCTCAGCTGTTTGTTTTGTATTTAAACACACGATACCAAAACAATTCAAATGCATTTTTGCAATTCTTCCATCCGGCCCCCTCCGAATAGGGAAGATTCAAACCAGATCCCTGCTCCAGAGCTTCCAGGACCGACAGGGCTCCCGGCCATTCCCGCTGGAGAAGCCGCAGGTATGTGGCCGGGCTGGGGGAGGGGGATGGCCGATTGCTAAGTAAATATTGACTTTAAAATACGATTTTTCCCCACTTTTCCCTTCAATTCCGACTATGGCATTGGAATCACGAGGCATTCGCCTTCCTTAAACAAAATGAAAAGGATTATTTGGAGAAGGCAAGCCTGGCTGTGCTGTGCCAGAGGTGTTGGAATGGCTGTTCTGTGCCATTCCTGGGACAGGCTCTGGTTGGATGTGGGTGTTCACTCCAGTTCTCCCCCTTTTTGGAACCCCCGAGGAGACAACAACAAATCCAACCAAATCCAGGCCCTGCCATCACCTCAGCCCCAGCATTCCAGCGCTTCTCTGGTTTTCCATCCCTGGTTTCTACCCACGTTCCCAGCCCTGACCAAGGGATGACGCCGATGGGAAGCAGCTGGAAGATCCCACCTGGCCCCAGAGCCATCCTGGGCTATGGGCAGGGCTGTCACCCCCCTGTCACATCCCAGAGGGACATCCCAGGGCTCAGCACCCTCTGCTCATCCATCCCCAGATCCCACCAGCACATCCCTGGCCCTTTCCCACTGGTCATGTTCCACACATCGTCCCGTGATTGCCCACCTGGACTGTCCCCATGGCAAGGGACACCCGTCCCTCCCCATGGGACACGGACTGGGAGCCACTGGAGCCCCACAGCGGCTACCCAGAGATGCCACCCCAATGTCCCCCTTCGGGAGCAGCGGAGGTGACAACTCCAGAGCCCCCAGCAGCCCCACGACACCCCCACTGGGATGGGATCGCCAGCAGCCAGGACCTGCCTCCAAACCCAGACAAAGGAGCAGAGCGAGGATGGGGGGGACGGAGGAGGAGGAGGAGGAGGAGGAGGAGGAGGAGGAGGATGGACGGGCGAGCGCATCCCAAGGGAGGCAGGAGATGGAGGCAGGGAGCTGCCCACAGCATCCCCGTGGAGGGGGAAGGGGGAATAAAATCATATTGCGGCTCCCAGGGCTGCGTCCATCCCGCAGCTCCGCATCACCTGACTTCAAACGCATCCGGGGGGAGACGATTTCCATGCAAACACATCAGGAAATCTGCGAGGAATGCGCTCCCCCCTCGCCCAGCCCCTTCCCCTCCCGCTCCCCAGGCTCCAGCAGCTCCGCCGCCTTCAGATGAAATCCATTAAAAAGAAGGGAAGAAAAAAAAAAAAAAAAAAAAATGGGGAATAAAGGAAAGATTTGCATTTTAAACCAAATTCAG